TCTATCTATCTATCTATCTATCTATCTACCTATCTAATCTAGCTATCTATCTATCTATTATCTATCTTTCTTTTTATCTATCTATCTTTTTTTATCTATCTATCTCCAACAGTATCTATCTTTCATCTACAGTGTCTATCTATCTATCTATCTATCTATCTATCTATCTATCTATCTATCTATCTATCTATCTATCTCCTACAGTATCTATCTTTCAACTAATGTTTCTTTCTTTCTTTCTTTTTCTTTTTTCTTTCTTTCTTTCTATCTCCTACAGTATCTATCTTTCATCTACTGTAAGTATGTATCTATACTCTATCCTACATACATAGTTAGTCAGGCTGAAAAAAGACACAAGTCCATTGAGTTCTAGCTATACTACATCAGCCTAGACTACTAACTATCTACAGCCTATACATGTTTTATCCATAACACATACAAGCATTATAACAACATATAATAACACAAAGTATATTCATATAACTTGATGTTTGTCTACACCATCTCCAAATCCATCCTCACCTCCCTGAATACAAAAACACTGCACATGTCTATCACTTCCTATTATAAAAATCCTCAGTCATATTGGCACACAGTTATAACCATCAAATAGAAACATCAAATGTTATCACGACAATGCTAGGGAAAACGATTCTAAGCAACTCCATCCATAATCAGGCGGAAGGAAAGGAAATCTACTCATTAAATCTCTGGATGTGCCTTGGTTATAGTTAGATTAAAAAAATACTTTGGAGGTTATGCTTAAAACATCTCCACAAGCCGGTCGCAGCCTCTTTTAATTCATGTACTTACATTGCTGGCTCCCATAAAGAACGCCCAATTTCAAGTTCCTTTAAAAAAAAGTAGATCAATATTAAGCAACTCCACTAGTGTCAAGCTCGCAGATGGGAGATGTGCTCGGTGTCTTTCTCTGCCCCGGACGAACGGCGTGGATGATGTCACTGCTACGTACATGCCACTTTGTACCTTAACCCTATGAGGACCACCCGCAGGCCTACAGCTGTTAGCTCTCGATGAGGAGTTTGAAGTTTCAAAAGTCCACTTGAACCTTCCTCCTTCTTAATTCTCACGTCACCTTCCCTGACCAGAGTCAGCGGATATCCAACACCGATGACTTATCCGAAGAAGAGCTACCCCTCGGCATCGGAAAAAGTGACCGCGGCAAACCCTACTCCGTCTATTAAATGATCGCTTTGACCATTAGTGTAATCGTGCCCTGACGTGCGGGTATAAAAAACGGGCATTTAAAAAAAAAAAAGGAATAAAACTGTTTGTCGGAAGCAGTTACCGCGCTTAAGTTACAGTTCGGCGGACGACAGTTTAATACGTCTCTCTCTTAATGCAGAAAATTAATGGCAAGTGGAAATATGACATTTTCTTGCTGTGCTGCATTAAAACCAAAATAATTAAATAATTGACTACTGCTGCAATTGCAGTTGCTAAATCAATGGATAGCGAAGGTTATTAAAAGATTAAACGGCAAGCAGAAATCTGTCGCCGGGAAGAAAACAGAGCAAAAAAAATACCTACAACTTGTCTTTTCCGGGAGATGCTTTTCTGGGCTGCCAGGGAACCCAGGTGGGGTTTAACGTGAGATGAAGACTTAGGGGAACGTTCGCTGATTTGGGGAAAATGCTGATTACTATCGGGAAGGGAACTACAAATGTCAAAAAAGAAAAAGGTTTGGTCAGCGCCAAAAGCAGCATCTGAGGCTTCTGACTTAGTTGACGCATCGAAAAACCTACGAACGCCCAAAATCAAATGTTTGTGAGCGAGGCAGGTCTACCGGGATCGCGGAGGGACGTCCTGAAGTGAGCAACTTCGGTGCTAAGAAGGCAAATGATGAAAGCCATTAAAGCACTTTCTAGAGGGATGGCCTGGTGTCCCTGGCAAGGCAGCGTCCCGGGGACAAAATGTTTTGATTTACGGCGACGTGTTTTTAATAAAATATGGAGGAAAGCCTCGGAGCTTAGGGAACACGGGGGTGACTAAACTTTTATCATCTTGATAGATAAGATAGAGAGGGAGAAAGAGAGAGGAAGAGAGAGAGAGGAGGAGAGAGAGAGGAGGAGAGAGAGAGGGGGAGAGAGAGAGAGGGGTAAGAGAGAGAGAGAGAGAGAGAGAGAGAGAATCTAATTGAGAAAGAGAGAGAGAGTCTATTCAAGAGGGGGGAGGGAGAAAGAGAGAGGAAGAATCTATTCTAGAGATAGAGAGAGGAATCTAATATATATGGAGAGAGAGAGAGAAGGAGGGAGAGAGATACTTTTTATAAATACATGTGTGTGTGTGTGCCTGTAAATACTGTATATAGAGATAGATAGACAGATAGATAGATAGATAGATAATAGATAGATAGATAGATAGATAGATAGATAGATAGATAGATAGATAGATAGACAGACAGATAGATAGATAGATAGATAGATAGATAGATAGATAGTTTGTGAACAATTTAGCAATTCATTATATGATTGAGTAACGTGACTCTTACGCCTTTCGTGGGGCTGTAATAGGTAGCAAGATATTCGGGGGCATAATAGGGGCAAAATATCATATTATCATAACACAAAAAGCAAACAACAGCATAAGAGACACTGAATATATAAATATAAACACACAAAAGCAAACAAACATCCTGATTATCTCATCACAGAGTGTCAGTAGGTGATATATAACAACATTTCAGAAATAAACACAGAGGTGGAAAGTTTAATAACATAGTTATTTTTATGGCTGACCCAGAGATCTGGTATTTGCATCAGACATCCAATGAGATGCATGGAAACACTTTTGCAAGTTTCCCTTAACATGATTAGGTGTTTAAGAAGAACGCAGCTGGGACAGGTTAGGACACAGGCCCCTTAGGTAAGTACACACACACACACACAGGTCTGGGGGATAAACCCATCGCCTTAACCTCTGGGTCACCCCTTGGATGAACTCTAAAAACCAGTAACCGAAACTGGCTATGAACCAATTGTTCTGTCGTCTCTGCCTCTCGCTGACAGCTGTGACAAGCATGCAAATGGTTAATTCCGCAGGGTTTATGAAAGAAGTCTCGAAGCTCTTTCCAAATTTCATGGGTAGGTCTAATAAAAATATTTGGAATAGCCCAGTGCGACAGAACCGCATTAAGGCCGGTCCTTTACCGCTGTCATAATCCATATAGAGGCGCGGAACAAAAACAGCCAATATTGGAGAATAATCCTTCGCGGTGATTTTTAGGAAGAGGACGGAATAATTATTTATTTATTTTGTTAATTAATTGCAGTTATCTTATTTTTTGTTCCTTGCCACATCACGGAGAGCTCCTAGTGGAACATTCTTGGAATATTTGCAATAAAACTTTTTTTTTTCGGATGCTCGCATGGTGTTGGCTCTCTGTTTTGTAAAGCTGTATTTTT